TATTAACACATTAAAAATAATTTTCCCTCAAGGTATTAATGTGTTGTAGCCTAATTATAATAAAATTTTATGTTGGCTTCTATTATAATCTTTGTGGGGTTTTTTTGGCTCAATCCCTTCACCTTTTTCACCCAGCCTTCCTATCATAGTCTTGGTTACATGATTAATTTCCATGTGATTGGGTTTTACATTTGATCTGATAAAAACATATTGTACTCAGAGAATATATTGTGTATATTATCCTAAATTATTTCTAGTTTTTGGTAGTTCCATGTACATTTGAAAAAAGATTTAAACTCTGCCTTAGTTTACTCACTTTACATAGTTCCAATGTGCATGAATTTAGTTACCATGTTTTAGTTAAATAACATCAATCTCCCAACAACAAGCCTTGAATATCTTGAGCATGGAACCTAGGCAAGCCTGCTTAGATTTTGAACTACAGAATTATGAATTAGTAACAGGTGGTATTTTAAACTATTTAATTTGCAGTATTTTGTTAGAGAAAGTTTTAAAAAACAAATAAGTTTCTTAATCTTTATTTCTCTGTTCTTCAAATTTGTTTACTTTTTTTTTTTTTTAAATATATTTTATTGATTTTTTACAGAGAGGAAGGGAGAGAGATAGAGAGTTAGAAACATCGATGAGAGAGAAACATCGATCAGCTGCCTCCTGCACATCCCCCACTGGGGAAGTGCCTGCAACCCAGGTACATGCCCTTGACCGGAATCGAACCTGGGACCTTTCAGTCCGCAGGCCGACTCTCTATCCGCTGAGCCAAACCGGCTTTGGCTTGTTTACTTTTTAAAAAAATGTATTTTATTGATTTTTTACAGAGAGGAAGGGAGAGGGATAGACAGTCAGAAACATCGATCTGCTGCCTCCTGCACACCTCCTACTGGGGATGTGCCCACAACCAAGGTACATGCCCTTGACCGGAACCGAACCTGGGACCTTTCAGTCCGCAGGCCGACGCTCTGTCCACTGAGCCAAACCGGTTTGGCAAATTTGGTTACTTTTATTGACCTTTCTTCATGTTCACTGTTTCTGTAATTTTCAATCTGCTTTTAAGCTTATCCAGTGAATAATTTTAGTTGAGATGCTGTCCTTTCAATACCATTTCTTTTTTAAAAATATATTTTATTGATTTTTTTTACAGAGAGGAAAGTAGAGGGATAGAGAGTTAGAAACATCGATGAGAGAGAAACATCGATCAGCTGCCTCCTGCACACCCGCTACTGGGGATGTGCCTGCAACCAAGGTACATGCCCTTGACCGGAATCGAATCTGGGACCCTTCAGTCCACAGGCCGACGCTCTATCCACTGAGCCAAACCGGTCAGGGCAATTTTTTTACTTTATACTGGTCATTGTAGTTATTCTTTTAAGGAAGTGGCCAGTTGTCTTCTTTTAAAAAGTGTTGAGTTTTGATCTGTCAGGTAGTTATATCATTGGAGGATCTTTTAGGTTTTTGTCAGGTTTTGTTTTCTTTGTGAGGCAGACCTATTTTGATATTGAACTAAATTCTAGGGATCTTTACTCCTAAAATGTGGTGTTTTGGGGGTTTCAACTGAATGTCGGAATTGTTCTCTCTACTCTAGTTGGCTGGAGTGTTAGTCTGTTCGGCCTGCCATAACTTAATACCATATATTAGGTGACTTAAACAACCAAAATGTATTTTCTCACTGTTCTGGAGACTGGAAGTCCAAGATCAAAGTCCCAAGAGGGTTGGTTTCTAGTGAGGACTCTCCCCTTGGGATGCAGATGGCCACCATCTCACTGTGTGCTCACATGATCTTTCTGTGTGTGAGGAGAGAGAGAGAGAGAGAGCTTTCTAGTATCTCTTCTAAGGACACTTAATCCTGCTGGATTAGGGCCCCATTCTTATGATCTCATTTTACCTTAATCACTTTGCTAAAGGCCCAGTCTCCAAATACTGCTACACTGGCAGGTAATTACAAATGAATTTTGTGGGGACACAGACATTGAGTTCATAACAGGCAGAAATTCCAAAAACTCCAGCATTGCACTACCTTTGAGCCCCATAGTAGGTGATCTCTGCTAGACTTCATCTTGAGTCTCAATGTGTGTGTGTGTCGCGCACTGGGAGGAGTGTTCATTAACAAGAAGCATGTGTTCAGAAATCTGGTCTCTGTCTCTGAGTTGCTCTACTAGGGCTGGTTTTCCTTATGTTGGGACAGGAAAGTCTTCCCAGGCAGAAATCTGGGGCCATCGTGAGGTTCATTTCATATTTCCTTTCCCTGAAAGAGCTCGACCTACGCTGTTATTCATTTTCTGAACACAGTTGCCTCATATATTTTGGCCTGTTTTATACTTGTTTTTGGTAGAATAGCAAATCTGGTACCAGATATTTTGTCATGGTTGGAAGCAGATCAGTCATGAGTTCTTATTTCCAAACATAGTTGGAGGAGCTTTAAAGATCTCTTGTGGGCATTCTTATTTTATATGGTTAATTTTTTATTACTGATAGAGCCTATTTTATTAAAAGTTTTATGAGTAGACTTGAATTCTTTTTAAAGCTATATGTTGAACATAATGGACTCTGTGGAAGGGGAGCCTTATTTATGGACTGTTTCTTTTATGATATTGTTAGAGTCTTTCTGGGTAGATGAAGCTCTCTATAGGTAGTAATCAAAACCTGGTGATGAAATGTTATGACTTATACCCACGAAACCTTGGAAATTTAGCAGACAGGCCCCAGGAGAGCTCATTTAACTCTCTTAATTTCTATGCATTTGACACAGGATAATGTGAGATATGGCTCCAACATTGGGCAAAGTGACATGCTATCAAAGAATGTTTCCTTAATTATAATATTTAAAATTTTTCCAGGAGTTTAAAATGCTCCTAAGTACATAACTTAACTGCTATTTTGTTCACTTGAAAAATGGAATTCTTTTTGGCAGGCTATTATAAAATCTTCAGATTTTATACTTTTCACAAAGAGTAATCATGAGCCCTACATGTGTAGAGAGTAATACTCTGCTGGATAGGGTATTCAAATCAGGGCTTTTAATTTTCTATATAATTAGTCAAATAAAAATATTCTGTTTAGATATTTTTGAAATTATTAGAAGGGTTTTGGAGGGTATTGCATAGGTTTCACATTTAATTGTGTTTCACATGGCCAAAATTGTGCGTTAAGATTTGATAATAAATGATTCTGGTTTCTCAAAGAGGAAAGGATAGATTCTTAGATGTTGGATCTACTTCAGATATTGTGTAAGAATATTTTTCTATCTGTGCCTATCACACCATATGCTAAATGAAATTTCTGAGTAGACTAAAGATTTACCCATAAAAGAGAAACAGTATATATACACAAGAGAATATAGGTCAGCGGTTCTCAACCTGTGGGTCGCGACCCCTTTGGTGGTCGAACGACCCTTTCACAGGGGTCGCCTAAGACCATCCTGCATATCAGATATTTACATTATGATTCATAACAGTAGCAACATTACAGTTATGAAGTAGCAACGAAAATAATTTTATGGTTGGGTCACAACATGAGGAACTGTATTTACAGGGCCAGAAGGTTGAGAACCACTGATATAGGTAAATATTTAATCTTCAGGTAGTTGAAAACAATGGTGAAAGATACTATTAAAAGAAAAGAGTGATAGATCTGTTCAGCACAAATAAAACTCCACCATAAGCAAAGAGAAAAGATGAGCATGAAGTTGGCAACCTTTTGATGCATGGGATGACGCTAAACCAACTGAGCCACACCAGCGAGGGCAATATAATATATTTTTGGAGTGTTCTAAAACTATATATGAAACATTCACATATTGCTAGTGGGAACATAAAATGGTACAGATGCTTTGAAAAACTTCCACATCCTAATAAAATTAAATAGAGTTACTGTGAGATTCAGCAATTCTCCTAGGTATATACCAAAGAAGTATAAAAGCATGCATCCACACAAAAATTTGTACACAAGCATTCATAGCAGCATTGCCTTTTTTATATTAACCAAGAAGTTAAAAAAAAAAAATACAGGAATGTTCATCAACTGGTGGTGAAATAAAATAAGGTATTATCTATACAATGGAATAATATTCAGCAATAAAACGAAGTAAAGTACTGATACATTCTTCAACATGGGTGAATCTTTAAAACATTGTGCTAAATAAAAGAAGGCAGTCAGGAAAGACCATATGCTGCATGATTTTATTTATATGAAAAATCCAGAATAGGAACCTATAGAGATACAAAGTAGATTAGTGGTCTAGGGTGGAGAGGATGGGGCGAGACTATACTGTGACTGCCAATGGGTATGGATTTCTTTTTAGGGTAATGAAAATGTTCTAAAATTAGATAGCGGTGATAGTTTCACAAGTCTCTAATTATACTAAAAACATCAAATTGTGAATATAAATTTATTCACACTTTACATGGGCAAATTTTATTAGAATGTGAATTATATTTCAGTAAAGCTGTTTAAAAAGTTTATGTAAATGTTATTTATTATTATTAACTACTAGTGGCCTGGTGCACGGATTCATGCACATTGAAAGGAAATTAGAATTCTTGGGGTGGCACCTTGGCTCGAAGGCCGTCTGCAGAGTGAGCGGGGTCCCTCTGGCAGGTGAAGTCCTTCAGCCTGGCCTGTGGGGATTGGGCTAAAACCGGTTCTCTGACATACCGAGAACCGCAGCTGCTAAGTCACCACAGCTCAGCAGCTCCTGCGTTGAGCATCTGCCTCCTGGTGGTCAGTGCGCATCATAGGTACTGGCTGGTTAGACAGTCGGATGGTCACTTAGCCTTTTATATATAGATATTTAGAAGACACTTTATTGGTGCACCTTACAACATTATTTAAAATTAAAATTAGTAAAAATACCATATCTTCTGAAGTTTTTTTCATAGTTCTTTTATATTTAGCAAAAGCAAAGGCAGGGCTTATTCTATGCCTTTCTTAGTATTTTATGTTACATAACATATGTCCTAATTTTTGTGTGTGCTGATATCTTATAGAAAAAGCCACAAATGAGTACAACACTACGGAAGATTGGAGTCTTATTATGGACATATGTGACAAAGTTGGAAGCACTCCTAATGGGTAAGATGCCCACCATGCTCAGTAAATGTCTAGGGACTTAGTAACCTGTGTCTCTTTTCTTGGTGTAACTTAGAAAAGAAAATGGGGTTTTACTATTTATTTTGGGGGGAATAAAAATAAAGTGATCATGGTGGCAGGATTTATGGGATAGACCTTATCCTTAAAGAACAAATGGAAAAGAGTTCAACTGAAAACCTGAGATAAATTAAAATACATAAATCCGTGACACAGTAGAGACATATTAACAATGCATTGACTAGTTGTTCAGGAATTTCTCTTGTAACTTAGACATGTATGGGAGTCTTTTAATAATGAAGTAGATAAATGTAATAGGTAATATGCTGAAAAATCTTTCAATAATGAATAGGTAAATAACATCATAATGAAAAAAGTGAATATAAAAAAGGGTACTTTTGGGGAGATGTAGCAATTAAGCTGAATTGATTATACTTTAGAAGTTTAGAAGACTGATGAAAGCATGTTTTAATATTACAGTTTTTCAGGGTCCATTCATGCATGTTTACACTGAAACCTTAACGACTGTTTATCTTGCTCACTTTTTTGAAAATAAGAATTTGCTGTCTGAAAGCTAAGTCTGTCTTGAACAAATGAAAATATATTTTTATATGATAATAGTTCTCTTGTGTTGACAGACCTTTTTTGAAATGATTTGGCTCTTGGTTTTGGAATATGTAACTTTTGCAACAAGCTTTTATTTTTTTTTAACTTCTACAAGTCTATGAACATAAGATTGTGTAGAGTCGTTTTATAGATTTATTCCTATAATGAAGTAAAGTAAAGTTTGCAGGATTTTATTTTTAAATTTAAAGTTTTTTGGTAGTAGTATACCTCATATTTTTAATGTTTGATTTGAAATTCTGAATAAATACTTAACCTTCTTCATTTTTTTCTTAGAGCAAAAGATTGCCTAAAAGCCATAATGAAAAGGGTAAATCATAAGGTTCCTCATGTTGCTCTGCAGGCATTAACTGTAAGTAAAAGTCGTTATTATTTTATCAAAATTTTAAATGTATATTTTATTAAGATACAATCTCAACATATTTATATTGATTTTTATTTTAATTACAGCTTCTTGAGGCTTGTGTGGCAAACTGTGGAAAAATATTTCATTTAGAAGTATGTTCCCGTGATTTTGCAACAGAAGTACGTGCTGTGATAAAAAATAAGGTAAATTTTTAAAAGATATTTAAGTTATTAAAATATGTATGTACTCTGTCATTTTAACTATATGAGCATTAATAAAGTATTGTAAATAAAATCAATTTTAGATAAATTAGTAATGAAATACTGTTCTAAAATTTGTTGTTTTCATTTGTAGCACCAAAAACTGTTTTCTTTCCCAAAGCATAATGCTAATGATAATAGCTGGTGGTCTTGACCGATGGTTAGTTGGCAGCCGCTGCTTTAAGCATTTTACATATACTCTTGTTTAATGTGTTGACAACACTTAGGAATTAGCTTCTCTTGTCATTCTTATTTTATAGATGCAGAAACTGAGGGTTAGAAATTAAGTAACTTGTCCAGAGTCGTGCCAGCTAGTAAGTAGCATAGCTGAGGTTCAGGTTCAGGTTTCTGTTACCAGAGTCCAGATGAACCACCGTTCTGTACGATTCCCATTAGAGATGGAGAGCAAAGGGGGCTTTTAGTTTAGAGCAGGATGGAGGGGGTCTTCACTACAGGGTTGGTGTTACTGATTTCTTTGAAATGGAAACTCTTGAAGCACCAGATTTTTGTTTGGTTGGCATAAAAATCTTAATGTTAAGAAAACATAGGAAAAGTGATCTCTGAATATAAAAGATTTGTTGTCATTACAGTAAGGCTTAGAAATTGATGTTCAAAAAGGGTAATTTCTCAAGAAATAACTGTATCTTAAAATGTAAATAGGCATTTATCAAGTACTCATCCAGGCTAGAGATTCTTGGCCTTTTGTTGATGTTCAAGCAAAGAAAATTTTGGTGATAATTCTCTTTGTTGTTAAATAATTCACGTACTGATTTTAACCACAATTGTTTTTTCTTTGCCTTTTTTTAAAGGCTCATCCTAAAGTATGTGAAAAATTGAAATCTTTAATGGTGGAGTGGTCAGAAGAATTTCAAAAGGACCCTCAGTTTAGTCTGATATCTGCAACTATTAAATCTATGAAAGAAGAAGGAATTACTTTTCCTCCAACAGGTTCTCAGGTAAGAGCTTCATTCAAACCGATGGTTGACCCTATACTAATTTGAGGGTGTGTATTTTATGTAAAATCTGGGCAAGGTCTGTTTTAATCATGCTATATGTGCTAGGGAAAGAGACTAAGAAGAGGAATATATATATTAGACTGTAGACTAAAGAGACAAAAAGAATCTTTATAGATGACCAGGTCTAAGGATTCAAGGTACATTTTTAGGACAGAAGTCTTATAAGTAAAAAAAAATATCAAGCATTTTCCTGCTCTGTCCTTTCTGCATGTCATTCTTAAAAAAATCTGTGTTAACCAACTGGTTGATGATTCAGAATCCTGGACATATGTGTCTTCCATACCTTTAAGTTTAAGCATGACCTTCTTTAGTCCTCTGCTATGCCTGAAGAGCTGCACAATGAGTAGTAAAAGGGGGCTTAGCAAGCATTCCTAGAACTGCACTCCTTGTCGTTGTCCTTCCTCCTCCTCAGTAATTTGCATGGCTTCTTGCTGCCACTTCTCTTGTAGCTCTCCGCCTATAGTGATACAGCACCTTTCACTGAGTAAGGGACGTTGGATTATTTAGATCAGGAAGTGCAATCGGGAAAGATTATTATTCATGCGCTTTCTGTATGCCAAGTTCTGTGTCAGCTACGAAGACTTATGTGGGGTATAAGCCAGTTGTGTCTTTTGAGTTTATAAGGTTTTCATGAAAATTCTGATCTTTTATTTTAGTATTTGAAAACAACTACTTAAAGTTAGCATAAAAAACTTCACTTTTAAATGAAACTCAGTTAATATCAGTTTTATTTTAAATTAGCATGTGTGAGTAATTATAGAGCTTGTGTTTTCTTTGAAAGGATAGTTGTGTTTATTTTAGTTGTACATTTACAGACTGTCTCAACTGTTGCCAAGAATGGTACGTCATCGAACAAAAACAAAGAAGATGAAGACATAGCTAAAGGTAAGTCATCAAACATGTAATTTGGTATTACTGGGAACATCCTGGCCAGAACACTGTATTGAAATAAATATTATAATAAAACTGGGTATACTTTTAGTATTTTAAGATTTTCAAATCTAGACACTAATAGAGTCTGAAAAGTAAGGAAAACAATTGACGTGATAAAATTAATTTAATTCATTATCTTTGTCAGTAATATGTATTTAATGTCCTACCTTTGGAGAGCTCACATTTCACCTTTTCTTTAATGCCAAAGTTATGAGTCAAGCACAGAAATATATGTGCATGGCTTGTCCTATATGGAAAGCTACCCATTTTATAATGTCACAATCTGTTCGCTATAAAAATAATAGCTGCTGTATATGACAGACTGTTATAATCAGGAGTGAGCAAAAACCTTATTTTAAAAAATGTCATGATTTTCTGCCCCTCAAGAAAGTTAACTGCTTAGTGTTTAATTAAACAAAATACTGACTTGCTTTATTCTTACTAAATATTACGTTATCTAATATTTCTTTTTAAACTTCGAAAAATCAGAACTAATTCTGGCTACCTTTCTTTTGCATTTTAATTTTTCAAACTAGCTATTGAATTATCATTGCAAGAGCAGAAGCAGCAGCATACGGAAACAAAATCCTTATATCCATCTGCAGAAGTTCAATTAAATAATAAAGTTGCAAGGAAAGTGAGAGCTTTATATGATTTTGAAGCCGTTGAGGATAATGAACTCACCTTTAAACATGGTGAAATTATTATTGTTTTGGATGACAGGTATGTTTTCAGTCATTATTTCTGGAATATTTTGAAGTTAAGGATCATATCCTTACTTTAGAACCCTGGATACTCAGCTCTTTGACTTCAGTATATCATAGGACCTGTTCATATTTTAATTGTTTTTCCTAAAATAAAACTTAGAAAAGTTAGACGAGATAATATGATTTCCTTGTTGTTTTGTTCAATTTGATTTTACTTTATATCTTGCATAAAAGATGTATTAAGTGAGTATCACAGTTGGGAAACATAAATATTCAGTTATCTAAGTGCATTTACATTGGGGATTTTGTATACAAAAATTACTGGCAAGTCAACTTTAGGAAGACATAAAGCTATATTACCTTTGGTCAAAGCAACCAAAAGCTATGCTCGGCTCCTCCCTAATTCTTAAAATGAGGACACAGTTCTATCTTCTAAAACCTAGAATAAAGTAAGGGAGTTAAAATTACTATACAGGTCTGGCTGGTGTGGGTCAGTGGTTGAGAGTTGACCCATGAACCAAAAGGTCACAGGTTCTAGTCCCAGTCAGGGCACATGCCCGGGTTGTGGCCCAGTCTATAGTAGAGGGCTTGTAGGAGGCAGCTGATAAATGTTTCTCTCTCTATGTTTCTATCCCTCTCCCTCTAAAATAAATAAAAAATATTTTATTTTATATTTTTCTTGATTTCAGAAAGGAAGGGAGAGGGAGAGAGAGATAGATTCTCAGTGATGAGAGAGAATCATTGATTGGCTGTCTCCTGCACACTCCGCACTGGGGACCAAACCCGAAACCCGGGCATGTGCCCTGAGCCAGAATTGAACAATGACCTCCTGGTTCATAGGTCAATGCTCAACCACTGAGCCATGCCAGCCGGGCATAAACAAAAAACATTTAAAAACCTAAATAAATAAAATTGCTATGCATGTAATTGTATGGAATTCTATGTGAATGCCATAAAAGAGGCAGTGTTGGGGTCCAGAAGAGAACAGATTTGCATGTGGTGCAAGCATCTGGGAAAGAAGGCTTATCCAGAGTCCATTTCAGATGAACTTTGATTTTGAAAGGACAGAAAAATATTGCAATAACTGAGAATCGGAAAACAAAGGTCTCAGGCAGTCAAGATAACACTGTGTTCACAGAAGTTTTTTCCTTTTTAAAACTAACCCTTTGGAATCGAGCACATCATCCCTGAAGGAGAGTAAATAGATGTGAAGGTGAAGAGATAGTGTGGGCTCTGAATGGTGACAGTCCGAAAGGTCAGGCTTCTGAGTGTTGTTTTAGTGAGAATATTTACAAAAGAACCTAGGTTTACACTTCTGAAACTCTTATCCTATATAATAAAAGCCTAATATGCTAAGTGTCCGATCGTCCAGTCGGCCGTTCAACCAATCGAAGCATAATATGCTAATGATATGGTAAGGCTGCTCAATCACTTGCTATGACATGCACTGACCACCAGGAGGCAGACAGTTGACTGGCTGATCAATTGCTATGATGTGCACTGACCACCAGGGGGAAGACACTTGGACCAGTAGGTGAGCTTCCTGCTGGGGTCTGAGCAAGTTGGACTGGACATGCCCTGGAGCTCTCCCACAGTCCCTCCCAAGCTGGCCAACCTCCCGTGTCTCTCCCCGGCCCCGATCGTGCACTGGTGGTGTCCCTTGGCCTGGCCTGCGCCTTTTTACAATCTGGGACCTCTCAGGGGATGTCAGAGAACCAGTTTCGGCCTGATCCCACAGGCCAGGCCGAGGGACCCCACTGGTGCATGATTTCGTGCACCAGGCCTCTAGTATACTTATAAAATTAAAGACATAAAATAAATAAAAACAAATCTAAAAAGGAGTAGTTTTTACTCTGAGATTCAAATTTTGAGCATTACTTTTATGTAATAAAAATTTTTCTAAAATAAATTGCTGGCTCACAAGGTAGGTAAAGCACAGGTACTTCATCGCTATCTCCAGAATGCCTGTATTACCCTGTGCTGTGATAACTGAATCTCTGAGTTTTTCTTTTGTAACTGTGTGAGTCCTTCATAAATATTCTGTCTCTTGACATTCTTTGGTGTTTGTATACCTATTATAGTCTACAAGCTTGCACTGAGTAAAGGGTTATGTTATTGTGCTGCACATGTTATTTTTACTGATGTCTAATTAAAGCACAAATTCATTAAATTATTTAGACTCTTACAAAACGATTTTCAGTTGAGACTTATCACTGCAAAAAAGAACTTTTTTTTTCTTTGTAACTGCTAAGAGAATTCAACATGAATGTGATGGGATGTGTAAGTTGATTGCCCTTGTTTTGAAGACAGAATATTCTAGTCTTAAAATTGCCATAGACATACTTATCAGCATGTATAGGTTAAATGTTGTCATTCTGGGTGATTGGTTATCACTGCAAGATTTTAAACAAAGACAAACTAAAGTTAAGTAGTAGTCTTAGGTTAAAATCAGGTCATCTAGAATCTAGATCAGGGGTCCTCAAACTACGGCCCGCGGGCCACATGCAAATACAAATAGTGTATTTGTTCCCGTTTTGTTTTTTTACTTCAAAATAAGATATGTGCAGTGTGCATAGGAATTTGTTCATAGTTTTTTTTAAACTATAGTCCGGCCCTCCAACGGTCTGAGGGACAGTGAACTGGTCCCCTGTTTAAAAAGTTTGAGGACCCCTGTTCTAGATGATTCAGAATATGACTGCATTCATTGTATTTATATTGCTGTGGAAATGAAAGCATAAAATAAAGAATTTCACATGTAGAACTTGAAAAAGTCCCTTGAAAATACAGCATTCTTGGACTTCAATTGAAGAAACATGGAACTGATAGAAAAGGCACAATTTCTTATTAACAGTGTACCAAAAGGCTTTTTACTTTTTCCATTTTTAGCTTTATCTCACCACTCCTTGTTTGTTCTGTATATACCATTTCAAATAAGTGGAATTCTTGCAGTTCCAAAAATGCCATGTTGTGATTAGACTTTTGTGGCATTGTACATTTGGTTCTCTCTGCCTGGAAAGCCCTGTCAAAGGAAGCAAGCGCATTTAGAAAAGAAAAGGAACTTTACTTGCAAGGAAGGTTTACAAGGGATTCCAAAGTTTAGAAAGATTGTTCCCAAATTAAAAAGTAAAACAGGTAATTTTAAGAAAAGACCCCCACATGATTACTAAGTTTCCAGGTTTACTATTTGTATGTTTGTGGCAGAAATAGCACTTTTCTCACATGATTATCATATCCATAAAAGGTTTCATTTATCGTAAGCCATTGTCGTAAAAGGTATGAGAGGGTCTTTTCCCTGCCAGGTATCAAGGCATATTAATAAGCTATAACAAATAAATTGTTTTAGGTAGGAAGTCAGTATCTTAAAAGAGAGGCTAGGTTTAGGTTTATTTTGAGCCCTAAAATGAGACAAAATGACTTTGTTTACCTCAGTGTATTTTATTTCTTTGGTCTTTAATTTTCTTGTTTAACCAGAATGGAGAAGGGCATTTTTACTTCCTCAGCCCTCATTTCCTTTTCCTTCTGGTGAGTGCGTACTGAAATGTCAAAAGCCATATCAGATTTTACATCCTCTGGGAAGCCTTTAACCGTTCCTTGGCCTTGACCTGTAAATTAAGAGTTCCATCTTGGTGCCAGCATGCGAATTATGACTTAGTAAATTCTCTTTGTTGTACTTTTTAAATGAAATAAAGTTGCAGAATCATAGAAGTTAATTTATCCTTAAGTTTCATCTTTAAGAATGCCTGCTCAATAAGTAAAATTTTTGAATAGGAATAGATAAACTTACCATTATTTTCAGATTTTATGATTGTCCATATAGAATGTCCAAGAGAATTGGTGGACAAACTATTAAAACTGATGAGTTCATTAAGGTTGTTGGCTACAAGCTCAACATATAAAATCAATGGTATGCTTTCCTATAATCACAACTATTTAGAAAGTATAATAGAAAAAGATGCCACTCTCAACAGTAACAAAAATTATAATGACCTTGGAATAAATAAACCTAACAAAGATGTATAAGGCCTTTATGGACAAAATTATATAAAATTCTTTTAAAGAAATAGAAATACATACAACATTTACTGGGTTCATGGTGAAGAAACCTTAATATTGTACATTTCATTTTCCCCATATGAATGCATAAATTCAGTGCATTTCCAATTAAAATCCCAACAACTTTTTATAGAGAACTTGAAACATTTTAATATTAATATAGAAATGTGAACGTATGAGAGGGTCCTTTCCCTGCCAGGTACCAAGGCATATTAATAAGGTGTAGTAAATAAATATAGACTATTGCAACAGAATAGAATCCAGAAATAGGTTCATGAACAGATAGCAGCTTGCTGTTTGAAAGATAGGATATCATAAATCAGTAAAAAAGATATTTTTCAGTAAGTTTTGCTGGTGTGAATGGTTCTTTATATGGTACAAATAAAATTTTATTCAGCTTCACACAGTACTTAAAATTTCATTCCAGATGAATTAAAGAGAGGGATAAAAACGAAAACTAAAACTATTAAGTACAAGTATATAGAAGAGATTTAGGAATTTAAGGATAAAGATTTCTTTCAAATAAAAGTATAATCCATAAAAAGATTGTTAAATTTGATAACATGGAACAAAAAACACAGTGGAATAAAAGAAACCATACACATTTGTTAATAGATAAGTGACAGTTTGAGAGAAGGTGTTTTCATAATGAAGTTCAGACAATAGCTATCCAGAATACAGAAGGAACTACAGATCCATGAAAAAATGCGAAAACCCAGTGGGGGCAGAAATGGACAGGAGACCTGAATGAGCAGTTTGTATACTCTGTGCCGGGGTCCAACCCCAGCAGGTCCAGGGGTCCCCAAAGGTGTAGACGGAGTCGGCGAAGAAGGAAGGACACGGAGACAGTGTTCAGTTGATCAGCAGCCTAGCCAGGATCTCTAGCCAGGATCTCCAGCCAAGTTCTGGTCTCGATCTCCAGCGAAGTTCTGCTTCAGATCTCCAGCCAGGTTCTGTGTCCATGTTCTCTTGCTAGGTTCTCCAGCCAGGTTCAGTCCAGGTTCTCCAGCCAGGTTCAGTCACCAGGTTCTAGTCAGGTTCTCTTGCCCATTTCTGTAGTCAGGTTCAGTCCAGGATCTTTTGCCATGTTGTCTCCAGCGAAGTTCTTCTGTCTCTAGTTCTGTGTTCTAAGCTCTGTATTCTAAGTTCTGTGTCTTGCTGTCTTGTTACGTCTGTATTTATACCAGTTGATTCAATCCTATCAATCTCTATTACAAAGGTTAGGGCGTTTCTTATCTCCATTCCAGGGAGTAAAGATTATGTAGCTTAAGCATGATTGTTCATAGTTAAAGTGATTAATTACCCGCCTGGCACTTAGTTAAGAGGTTTTATTCCCTCCCTAACTTCAGGGGAAAACCATACTTGGGGAAACAACCTTTGGACTGGCTCCCGGCAACTCTGAAAGGCCAGCAAGCACACATGGATACTGGGGAAATGCAGATGAGCACAGCAGATGTGATTTCTCTCCTGAATGATATCATGTTGCTTGGATAGTTAATGTGCACGAGGGGAAATGACTTTCTCACATGGGAAAGTGTGAATTGCCATAACCCCTTTAGGAAACATTTGGCACTATCTAATAAAATGGGAAATGCTTATATCTACTAGAGGCCCAGTGCATGAAATTTGTGTATGGGAGGGGGTCATCCCTCAAGCTGGCCTGTGCCCTCGGGGGATGTCTGACTGCCGGTTTAGGGGATCGGGCCTAAACCAGCAGTCGGACATCCCTTTTGCAATCCGGGATGCTGCATATGCACTAGTGACCATACTTTTCATACAGTTGAAAGGCATCTTGCTGTTGTATGGGCAGCTATATCTTTTTGCCCTGATTATAAAAAGTATATAACATGATCCTTCTGAGGCAGTAGTACCATTTTCCCCATCTAATGGGTGGAAAAACTGAAGCAGAGAGAAGTTAAGTAATTAGCTTTGTCATACAGTCATAAGGGCTGACCACAGAATGTGCAAACCAGAGTCCATACAGATCATCACTGCATCACCCTGTTTTTTTAGTGTTAGAGTAGCCTTGCCAGGTTTGAATTTTTAAATCTAAGAGACTGTTCCCAATATATAGGGTAAGGTCCCTAGGCCTGGCTGGCGATTGGGGCCAATCTGTGGGGCGACCGGCAGACGGGGCAATCAGGGGGCCCCCGCTGGTACCCGCCTTGGCTGGCGTCCTGGTGCCGCCCACTGGCTGGCCCCACCCCCCTATTGCCGTCACTGGTCACCTACCTCTCGGGGTGGGGGGCAGACACTCAATACAGAAGCGTCCTGCGTTGAGCATCTGCCCCCTGGTGGTCATTGTGCGTCATAGACACCGGTTGTTCCGCAGTTTGGTCGATTTGCATATTAGGGCTTTATTATATAGGATGGCCCAGCAAGTTCATGTTTGTGTATAAGCCTAGAGAGAAGTGTTGCAGGTGTGTCCCTGAATCTAGAGTGATCATTGCCTCAATCTTTGTAATGGTGTAATATTGGAATTCCTAAATGTCCATCTGTAAGGGAATGGATAAATCAAATATGCCATATTCGTATGATAGAACTTTAAAAAGGATAAACATCTGAAAAAAATCTGAAAGTATTAAAATGTAATTGAAAAGATCTATAACTATATAGAGTTGGCTTAAAGATATTTGTAAATGAATAAAAAATACACTGACAAGAAGGCTACATAGCAGCTTTATGGTGGTGGTGTGGTAGGATAGATGTGGGTTGTTGATAAAGGGGACTTCAGTGTTATCTATAATCTTTTTATTATTTTAAAAGCCTGGAATTGTATGTGAACAACTGCTAATTCTAAATGTAAATATGAGAATATGGATTTGTTTTATTTGTGCTTTTTTTATATCTTTTATTAAATTTAAGACCTACTTTTAAATATAGTTGTATGTGAACTAGTATTTTTCAAAGGAGGCTAAATTTAATTTTTATCATAATTCATCTTGACACAAATGCATTGAAATGTATAGGAACAAATGACATTTTTGCACTATATTTTTAGTGATGCCAACTGGTGGAAAGGAGAAAATCATAGAGGAATAGGACTCTTCCCATCTAATTTTGTAACAACTAATTTAAACATGGAGTCGGAGGCAGGTAAGTTAAATCTTAGGGAAGGTTAAATTGATTCAAGTTTTTTTCATTTGATTTTTATGCTTCAATTTTGAATATAAAGTAAATTGGCATTTAACTCTTGTTTTAAAACATTTATAGGCAATACAATTTAACCTACTTCTTACCATTTTTAAGGGGTTAACTTATCCATGTCAATTCCAAGAATTATTTCTTTATCATGGTGTTTTAAATCTTCTGAGAGTTAACATATGTAGTGACATATAATGCGTAAAATAATTTGTGACCAATTAAATATTTAAATCAACCTATTTGTAATTTAAGAGGCAGTTTGTGTCGGTTCAATACAAAGGATACTGGTTTTATTCATCATTGAACCACAGTATTGAAGGAGGGGCAGTGGGGCTAGGGGCTGGTTGACAACTCTGGTTACAGGGGTTAGGAGAGGCTTTTCCCCACCTTGATTTGATCCTAGGATACTCCAGACCAGAGGTCCTCAAACTACGGCCCGCGGGCCACATGCAAATACAAATATTGTATTTGTTCCCGTTTTGTTTTTTTACTTCAAAATAAGATATGTGCAGTGTGCATAGGAATTTGTTCATAGTTTTTTTTTAAACTATAGTTCGGCCCTCCAACGGTCTGAGGGACGGTGAACTGGTCCCCTGTTTAAAAAGTTTGAGGACCCCTACTCCGGACAATAATAATGTTAACAAGATGGTAGGTTTCCCTCAGCTGCTGTCAACCTTGCAGAGAAAGCTTCCATTTGTGATGCAGGCAGGGACGTGAGGGGAGCTGAGTGTAAGGAACAACTAATAATAATAATACTAATGATGGTGGTGATCAGAAATAAAAGAGCTCAGGGCTGTTTGAGCAGTCATGTATCAGGCATTTTGCTAAGTCCTCTGCTTACACTATTTAATCCTCACAAGTCTGTGAGATGGGTAATTTTGTTAACCCATTTTACAGATAAAGAAACTGAGGCTGAGGGCTTATGTAGTAGGTGATAGAGCTGGGATTCTAAAGTCAGCCAGTCTGTCCTCATACTGATTCATTATAGGACATGTTGGTGCCAATCCTTACCAATTCTAGAGTACTTAAATTGAAAGCTCTGTGCATTGTATATAACAGTGATTTTCAACGTTTTGCATCTTGTGGCACACAAACTATTAAAATTCTTGCAGCACACTGGTTGAAAATTGCTGCTGTATAACATCCTTTTTGTATGGTGGAGTATTGCATTTAATTAAAATAAGGCTGAGGTAGATGAATATTCATTTGAATACCAAGTACTTTACCACTATTTATACTTTACATTCCTCTGGTCTAACTGTAAATAGATATGAAAATTGGAGGTACCATTTTTAATAACCTGATAGAATCATGCTCACGGGATCCAATACAGCAATTTCTCCTTGGTATAGGCTGGAGAGATTGAGATGCAGTTTTAAAAGTAAAAAATATTCTGGGTTTTCATTATATTTTTATGTTATGCTAAACTCTGCTTCTTAGGACATATTTGAAAGTTAGGCAAATATTTTAAAGAAGTGGCTAATTGAGGGGACTTAAAGATTCTTTGATTATACAGAGTTTTTTTTTTTTTTTTTTTTTTAATATATTTTATTGATTTTTTACAGAGAGGAAGGGAGAGAGATAGAGAGTTAGAAACATCGATGAGAGAGAAACATCGATCAGCTGCCTCCTGCACATCCCCCACTGGGGAAGTGCCCGCAACCCAGGTACATGCCCTTGACCGGAATCGAACCCGGGACCTCTCAGTCCGCAGGCCGACGCTCTATCCACTGAGCCAAACCGGTTTCGGCTGATTATACAGAGTTTTATTGTAATTTTCTTTTAACCAAAGTTTGCTTATTAAAATACTAGAGGCCCGATGCATGAAATTCGTACACTGAGGGGAGGGGGTGCCTCTCAGCCCGGCCTGTGGCCTCTCATAATCCGGGACCTCGGGGGAATGTCCAACTCTCATAATCTGGGACCCCTCGCTCCTAACTGCCTGCCTGCTTGCTCCTTACTGCTTGGCTTGCCACTCCTTAGCGCTGCGGTGGAGGGAGGCGGGAGAGGCTCCCACCACTGCCGCTGCCAGCTGTGAGCCCGGCTTCTGGCTGAGTGGCACTCCTGCTGTGGGAGCACACTGATGACCAGGGGGCAGCTCCTGCATTGAGTGTCTGCCCCCTCGTGTTCGGTGCTCATCATAGTGACTGATCATTCTGGTCGTTCCGCCATAATGGTTGCTGGGCTTTTATATATATACTAGAGGCCCAGTGCACAAAAATTTGTGCATTTGGGGGGAAAACGGGGATCCCTCAGCCAGGCCTGTGCCCTCTCGCAGTCTGGGCCCCTCGGGAGATAACGACCTGCTGGCTTAGGCCCGCTCCCAGGTGGCAGAAGGCAGGCCCAATCCCTAGGTGCAGCCCCTGGTCGGGCTCAGAGCAGGGCCGATTGGGGAGTTGGGGGCGCTGCCCCTAGTCATGCACAGAACAGGACAGATTGGGAGGTTGCGATGCCACCCCTAGTCATGCTCAGGGTAGGGCCGATTGGGGGGTTGGGGCACCGCCCCCTGTCAAACTGAAGGCAGGGTCGATGGAGAAGTTGTGGCGCCACCGCGTCACGCACAGAGCAGGGCCGATCAGGGGGTTGGGGCGCTGCCCCCTGTCACGCACAGAGCAGGGCCGATCAGGGTGGTTGGAGAGCTACCCCCTGTCATGCACAGAGCAGGGTTGATCAGGGGGTTGGGGAGCTACCCCCTGTCACGCACAGAGCAGGGCCGATCTGGGGGTTGAGGAGCTCCCCCCTGTCACGCACAGAGCAGGGCCCATCAAGGGGTTGGCGAGCTCCCCCCTGTCACGCACAAATCCGGGCCGATCAGGGGATTGAGGATCTCCCCCCTGTCACTCACAGAGTAGGGCCGATAGGGAAGTTGGGGCACCGCCCTCTGTCACACACAGAGCAGGGCGGATCAGGGGGTTGGGGCACCGCCCTTTATCACCCACAGAGCAGGGCTGATCAGGGGGTTGGGGTGCCATCAGTCACACTCAGGGCAGGGCCGATGGGGAGGTTATGGCTCTACCCCGTCACAGAGCAGGCCCGTGGGGGGGGGGGGGGTTGAAACGCCGCACCCTGTCACACACAGAGCAGAGCTGATCAGGGGGTTGGGGCACCGCACCCTGTCACACACAGAGCCGCAGGGCGATCAGGGGGTTGGGGAGCTACCCTGTATCAGGCACAGAGCAGGGCTGATTAGGGGGTTGGGGCGCCTTCCCCGTCATTAACAGAGCAGGGCGGATAGGGAGGTTGTGGCCCCGCCCCCTGTCACACACAGAGCTGCAGGGCGATCAGGGGGTTTGGTCGCTGCCCCCTGTCACGCTGATCCCGGTGCCGGGAGGCCTTGCGGCTCCGCTGATCCCGGTCCTGGGAGGCATATTACCCTTTTACTATATAGGATAGAGGCCTGGTGCACGGGTGGGGGCCAGCTAGTTTGCCCTGAAGGGTGTCCTGGATCAGGGTGGGGGTCCCCACTGGGGTGCCTGGCCAGCCTGGATGAGAGGATGATGGCTGTTTGCAGCTGGTCACACCCCCTTCAGGGTGGGGGTCCCCACTGGTGTGCCTTGCCAGGCTGGATGAGGGGATGGTGGCTGTTAGCATCTGGTCACACACCCTTCAATGTGGGGGTCCCCCCTGGGGTGCCTGGCCAGTCTGGGTGAGGGGCTGAGGGCTGTTTTCAGGCTGGCGGGTGACTGAAGCTCTGAACTGCTCCTTTTTTTCTTTTTTCTTTTATTCTGGGCCAGCTTTAGCTCTGAGGCTTGGCTCCAGCTCTGAGGCCTCAGCTGCTGAAAGCAGGTATTTGGTTTGTTTGGGTTCTATAATTGTAACACTGTTGCAGTCCTGCTCACTCCAGCTCTGAGATCCCAGCTGGCTGAAAGCAGGGATCTGCATTTGTTCTATAATTGAAACAATGTTGCGGTCCTGCTGGCTGAAGCCTGGCTGGCTGAAAGCAGGTTTCTAGGGTTTTGTTTAGCTTCTATATTTGTAACAATGTTTCTTAAACTGCAAGCTCAGAGTCCGGCAGTGGCAGGCGGGTAACGTCACTGGCTTCCTCCGTCACTGAAGCAAGCAAGCCTCCTGTTCGCTTCAGTGCCTGGCTGTCGGCCGCCATCTTGGTTGGCAGTTAATTTGCATATCACCCTGATTAGCCAATAGGAAGGGTAGCGGAGATACGGCTAATTGCCATGTTTCTCTATTATTAGATAGGATAGATAGTATATGATAACAACACTCAATTAACATTTAAATAGTTTGAGGGTATATGTATAAATTATTTTTCAACCTTCTCTATATGAGAGGTTTTTTTCGTTTTGTTTTGTGTTGCTTTAATTATTAAAGTTAAGTTGTGATCAAGTCTATTTTTGTTCAGATAGGAAATACTTTTTTTATAGCAAGGAAAGAGTGTAGAAAGAGCGCATAGATTTAACTGGAATTAGCTAAGTAGATAATATAGTCAAACCTCAATTCTTGAATGCCTCCCATCTCAAACAATTTGCTTCTCAACCTGACAACCCTTTCATGCTCATGATACCTGTATGATTGATTAGTCAGGTGTCTCACAGGCGACAAAGAAGAGAATGAGCAAGTATGAGTCAGTTTACTGCTAAAACTCATGTTGTTAATATCTCAGAAAATTGTGCTGTGTATATTTTCATCTTTTTTTTGCTTTTGTTGCTGCTTATTAATATTAAATTTTTTTCTTTACTGTACATTTCAGTTTTAAATTTTCATTTACATTTCATGTCCTTTTTATTTTTAAAGTGTTTATAGATTAAACAGTACATTAGACATGTACTATATATAAGAAAGGTTAAAACAGGAAATCATTTAGGGGTCTGGAATGGATTATAGTGGGGCCTTGACTTACGAGTTTAATTCATTCCGTGACAGAGCTTGTAACTCAAATTACTCATATGTCAAATCAAAAAGTGAACGAGTGAGACACGTGATGCTGGGCTGATGTTGTGGCGTTCACTGTGGCGTTCACTGTGACGTTCACTGCGCCAACTAGTGGTGGGGTATCTGAAGCTGGCTCGTAACCCGAATTTTAGCTCGCAACTCAAAGCAAAAAATCGGCCGAGAGACAGCTCGTATCTCGAAAAACTCATTAGTCGGGACACTCGTAAGTCAAGGCCCCACTGTAATTCATTTTACATTATTTCTAATGGGAAAAAATGATTCTGTTTTTGATCAGCCTTCCATAAATGAATACCCTACTCTTCTATATTTATTCACTCTAGTGGTAATATCCATTTTCCAGAAAATGCCTGTTATGATTGTTCCCATTAATATTGCTTGCTTGTTCCACCAGAATGAAGTGCCATGAGGGCAGGTATTCTTGTCTGTTTTACTCACTGGTGTATTTCCAATGCCTAGAACAATGCCTGGCACATAGTAAAAGCTAAATATTTGTGGCATCAATAATTGAACATATGTAATAACGTATGAAATGCAATGACTGTACTATTTAAAGAATTTCCTTTTTTTCTTATTGATAATTACAGACTGCTTAGAAACAAATGACTAAAAGACCATAGTAAATGTTGAGGAACTTAAAGTTTACTTTGTTTTCATAGCAGCTGTGGACAAATTGAATGTAATTGATGATGAAGAAGAAGAAATTAAGATATCAGAGCCTGAGCCTGTTTATATAGATGAGGTAGAGCCCTTCTTTTGTTTAATAGTTAAATTATCACGACTTTTAAAATGCACTGTCTTTGAAAATGCTTGGAAAGAGTAATTTCTATGTTCATTGAAATGAAAACTCTAGTGAGTTTTTAAAGTATCCTATTATTTTTTAGGATAAGATGGATAGAGCCCTGCAGGTACTCCAGAGTATAGATCCAACTGATTCCAAACCAGACTCCCAGGACCTCTTGGACTTAGAAGGTACTTAGTGAATATGAGGGATTACTTTACTGTCCTCTAATGTTTTAGTGGTTTATAACATCTTAAATTTCTTCTGCCTTGTGTTTGCTTGTAGGGATTAGAAATCTGTGGCGGGAAACAGAATAGTATAGTTACACAGTAAACATATTGCTTGGAGATTGTTGTTATAAACCTGCCTATCCTCTTCTAGAAGAAAGTCTTTGTGTTTCTGTAAGCCCACTAATGAAATTGCCCGAAGAGATTGGCAGCCTAAAAAAGGACAGAATAAGAAATAACAGCCTATTAATAACTTAATGAGTCAAAATATTAAAAATTCTTATCCCTGTTTTTATTCTCTTGTATAATTTTAAAGGTCAAAATTATACATGATCTGTGTTAACTTTGTAATGTAGTCATTTGATGCATACTGATGTCTTTATAATCCTCAAGGGATTGAAACAAAGTAAATGTTTTTATGCCTTTTAAAAAAATTCTTTGAGGGAAAAATCTTTACCAATGGATAAATCTTAAATCTTTCAATAGAAGAAAGTCTAGTTATGACTATGGAATATTTTGGTCATTATATCAGTGTTTAATTTGGAAATACACATGTTTAATTTTGAAATGGCTTAAATAAATGAAAAATGTTCGTATTTCATCTGTTCATAATTACATATTTTATACACTGACTCAAGTTTATTTTACGTAGCTAATGATAGTTTCCTAGGTATTTTTAAGATTTTGAGATAACTCCAAATTTCACAGCCTGTAAAACTTAGTACTTTTAGAGAACACAGTGGAATTTCTGGGTTTTTTTACTTTGCCTTTGGTCACATGATATTAATATTGGTGCTGAATAGTATTAAAATTAGGTCTTATATAGTCCTTCCTGTAGCATTCTCTTTGTATTATGCATGGTGTTGCATAGTGGTGCTCTGTTGTTAAACATTGTTTAAATTTACTTAAACTGGTTTAAGTTTAAAGATTTTAAAATATGTTTATATTTATAGGTATCTGCCAACAAATGGGTCCAATGATAGATGAAAAACTTGAAGAGATTGATAGGTGAGATTCTTTGTGGTCAATCTGGTCAATCTATTGAAATTACTTCTTAGTTTCTCAAACTCTTACCAACTAATAGCAAAGTGCTACTTTTTATTTTGGTAACAAAAAATTTTTTTTCATGGCAACAGAGTATCTGTAGAAGCATGGACTCTTGTTCTTATGGTGCCAGTCTTCATTTTCTTACTTGGGCTGGAATTGCAGGATAATAAATAATGAAGAATAAATTTGTATAGAGTGCAAAATGAGAACCAGGGATCTTAGTCAAGCATTGTCTTGTTATGTGATGAGAATTAGTATTTGTAAAACTTTCAAATGAAATTTCCCTTTTATTTGTGAAGCTAAATCCAATGAACATACCTTCTATTATTTTGCTTCCTTGTATTTCTGTTGTGTTTTTAAGTTCATTATCCCAGCTACTCTTACTCTTACTCTTAGAAATAGCAGCAGCACAGAAAGATAGGCTATCAGGGTATTGATCTTTTTATTTATTTTTAGCCCCTTCTGTTCCTCAGAGCTTTCTATCTGAGGGAGAAGTAATAGTGAAGGGAAGATAAGGATAATAAGGCGTTAGTGTTTCATAGTCATCCCTTTTTAGATTCTGTTTATTGAACTGCTACATAAAGCCGCACAAGAACAGGGACTACTTTACTTACTGCCTTCACCAGAGAAGGGTAGTAGCAGCAAGTTTTTCTAGTCACTGGAGATTATAGTCTTTGTTCCATTGGGCTTTTGTAATATATTCTTTGTATTTCCTACAGAAGAGAAAAATACATCCCTGTTGCACTTAAAGGAATGATAGTGGTCGTCTCATCACATTTTATTGTTCTTATTTTGAGGAAAGCATTAACTATCTATTTAAACATCTGCTACTTTGGTTTCGGTGCAGGGGTGTTAATGGTCAATGAATGATCAAACTGGAAAAGGAGCCTGTGGTTAATTCTTAGCCATACTTCTGTTAGCATGGACACTAATGTCTGAAGCTTCCTGTGTGTTTTACAACTGATACTTCTGAAAGTATGACCTACCTCATACAGTCACACATGCAAGAGAGGAAACAGCATATTTTGTTTGTTTCAGGTATCACATTCTTAAAGAGGAAAGGTGACAAGTCTTGATAGGTCTCAGGCCAGCTCATTTATTTGAGAGCCCTGTGTCTGTCTGTTTGCCGGCCTCTGCCTCTTGTCTCTTAGGCCTCTTGCGTATATATGAAAAAGAGCTACTTTTAATAAACAGGCTTGATGGATGCCTGATAAAGTGACCATGTAACTTTTATGAACTTGTCAGTTGCAAAGGGAGTTCTTTATTCCTCCCAGTGGAACAGATAGATGGGTACCAAGTCAGAAGGATTTTCTCTGGAGTTCCTTGGGCAAATTGAAAATATATTCTCTTATTTGGATCTGTTTTTACATAATAAGGTATCTCGTTTCACTCACTTTCTCAAAAGAAATCAACAAATAAGAGCAGTAGAGGCTAGTTTATATAACATCATTTTAATTTTCAGGGATAATTATTAAAAAAAATTTCAGTTCATCCTTTCATGAATATAAGCAAATGGAAATATGCATAATTTTGTTTGTGACTGTGTTTTTATTTCAGTCATATTGTATTTCATAGCAGACTCTGGGTCTTGCCTGAGTTCTTTCTTCTACTAAGATTTTTAATTAAGGCCTGGACTCTTCCCGAAATTGAGAATTTTTTTTTCTTTGTAATTGAGTTTCCAACAGAAATCTATAACATATGGAACAAAATTCTCCTAGCACCAAAATTATGATTTGATTGCATTTTATGAGGTGTGGAAAGGACTAGTTTTATGAAGTCACATTAGCTAGTTATTATAAGAATTAAATAATTCCTCCTCCTGTTTTCCCGTTTTGAATATTCTTTCATTGTATAAGGTGGGGCAAAAGTAGGTTTACAGTTTCTTGAATGGAAAATAATATAAGTTCTGTGTTTTGCATACTCATAACTATAAACCTACTTTTGCCCTACCCTGTATATAAAGAACTATTTAAAATATGAATAGCCGAAACCAGTTTGGCTCAGTGGATAGAGCATCGGCCTGTGGACTGAAAGGTCCCAGGTTCGATTCCAGTCGAGGGCATGTACCTTGGTTGCGGGCACATCCCCAGTAGGAGATGTGCAGGAGGCAGCTGATCGATGTTTCTCTCTCATCGATGTTTCTAACTATCTCTCTCCCTTTCTCTCTGTAAAAAATCAATAAAAATATATTTAAAAAAAAAATAAATAAAATATGAATAGAAAATGTGCTAAATTTGCCTAACTGGCGTAGCTCAGTGTTGGAACGTCAGCCTATGAACCAGGAGGTCACGGTTTGATTCCTGGTCAGGGTACATGCCCGGACTGGGGGCTTGATCCCCAGTGGGCGGTGCGTAGGGGTCAGCTGATCAGTGATTCTCTCTCATCATTGATGTTTCTCTCCCTCTTCCTTCCTCTCTGAAATCAGTAAAAATATATTTTAAAAAAATGTGCTACATTAAAAAATAATTTGTGTTGCTAAATTTATGCTTAAAAACTATGAAGAGTATTAAAGTGCTTTTCTTCTATATCAGGAAGCATTCAGAATTGTCTGAGTTGAATGTAAAAGTCTTAGAAGCTCTGGAACTCTATAACAAATTGGTGAATGAAGCACCAGTGTATTCAGTTTATTCAAAGCTCCATCCTCCAGCACATTACCCACCTTCATCAGCTGGGGTTCCAATGCAGGTGAGCATGTTTTTTTAGAATATTTTTAAAATTAAAAAAATTGTTTAAAGAAGTTTTAAAGCATGGTATTAAATTTTCTATGGTTCATGAATAAAATTATAAAACTCATTTTTGATAGTCAAAAAGTATTGGCTAAATAATTAGTGCTCACCAGGACAAATTAGATACTGATATTTCACAAATACATTTTAGTTCATTTTTAACAAAATAAAGAGACTACTAAATATATGAGAGGACTTTTGGTTCTTTTTATGCTTTGTAAATATAAAGCATAAATCTTTAAAGTATATATAAGTCCTTTTTGTAAGGATAGAGTATAGATCCTTAGATTTTAGGACACTGTGTAACATATCAGAAGTCTTCCACATGAGGTACTGATGCTGTTCCTATTGCTCAACAAGCAAGATTTAACATTTCTGTCAAGATTTCTTTGACTTGTGTGATTATTAAAAGGTTTTGTTAATGAACTACTTTTGTAGTTCAGATCATGTTTTATGTTTTCTTAGAGGCATGACTTAAATTGGTAAAATTTCATGTATCATGAGGATATGATGCCGGCTTATTGATGCAGGTTCAGTTCAAGCTATACATGAACAGCATCTTTTCTCAGGACTTTACACCTTACGTATGCTTCCCAGCTGAAGTGAATACTTATTTATCAGTTTCCAGTATTCTGAAGCCTTTTTCAAATTTCAGCCAGTTAGCAATTGAATTCAGAATGAGCTTTGATGAACAGAATTCATGTTAATTTATGAAAACTGGTATGTAAAGGATGGTGTGAAGGAGAGGCCAAAAAGAGAAGAGAATGTGGTTGCGTAATCTAGATGACTTGAGATAACTTAATTGTTAAGTAGAAAAAGAATAGTTACTATGGTAACTGTCACATCAAACAAGATGCCTTTATCAAATATGCTATGCCCTTAACTTTTGAAAATGATGGAAGAGTCATTACAATGAAAGTAGAAAGGATTTCTGGGTGCAGAAGACATCTGGAGTGTATTCAATATTGCTTCTCTTTTCAGAGCTATTTGCTGCTGCTGTGAAAATGGAACAAAATAGAAATGTTTACCATTTATATTAAAAGAATTATATTATATTTGCTTCTTTGTATGTCTGGAAAGGGTTGTCATTCTTATGTCAGGTTTTTGTGTTTAGTTGCATATGATTTACAACCTGTACTTTGCTACACACAACTCAGTTATTTAAAAAGTTAGATTTCTATCACTTTGATTCTTTACTTCTGTCTACACTATTCATTCATAACAGCATTTGAAATAGTCAAAGCTCCTATTCTATCTTGAAGAAAAGTGTCCGTACTAGGAAAACCTGGTTTGACACACCATTAATTCTGGCGAGAAACCGTAACTGCAGAAGAGGTCCATTCGCAGTCTCAGTCTGTTGTCAGTGAGTTGTTACAAGTCTGCCGAGGAAGTGAAGGATTGCACTTAATGTATTGATTTGGCATTTCTAGCATTCTGAATTTTCATTTCAATAATTTTTGCTTAAAAATAGTTTAAAACTGGAGTGATGATAGTTGCTATATTATATTTATTAAACATGTACATTGTTTTGAATTCTGCAATTAATAGACAGATGTTAGATCCTGTCCTTAAGATGTTACTCTGAAAATTAAGTAGGTTACATATAAGTAACCAAAAGGACTTAGACCGTTTTGCTGTTTCCTAAATATACATCTCCTTTATCCAAAAGTAAAATTACTCTTTACTTTTGTCCTGTCTTAGAGGCAGGAAGTAAGGACATATTGCCAGGGAGGACCCTGCCCTGATGCCGTTATTCTTCAACATAGTCTCATTCTTCAACATATTCTCCTAAGTGTCATTCTTAGGAAGGAGCTGAATTAAGTCATCCGGGGGTGCAGGTGAAGAAGGTCATCTTTCTGGTGGTTGTCCTTCATGGGAGTATTTAATTTTCTGTGGCACTCAGCAAGACACGTTTTGGAGTAATAGGCAACCTGGATGGATTCCAATTTGCTACTTAAAAACACACCACCTCCTTTCCTTTCAACCCCCGGCATAATAAAAGAACAACCAAGAAAATCATAAATTCCCATAGATTGGCACTCCACTTTCTATACTGGGGTGAATGGATTGGTAAAACCAAGAACATTTTATTTCATTTAAGTCTTTAAATATATTGTTAGGTAGATGTTTGGGAGTTCAGTGAGTCAATTTTTCTCTTTGTTAATAGACATACCCAATTCAATCACATGGTGGAAATTATATGGGTCAAAGCATTCACCAAGTTACTGCTGCCCAAAGCTACAGCCTCGGACCAGATCAGATAGGTCCACTGAGATCTCTGCCTCCAAATGTGAATTCCTCAGTTACAACGCAGCCTGCGCAGCCTCCGTATATGAGGTAAGTTTTGGGAGCTGTGTTAATTGTATAATTGGGTGCATTACATTTTCACAGACTTTCAGAAGGAGAATAAGTAGACCCTTCTCTTTGTAATAATAGTGCTATCTTTTACTGTTGAGATAAAGTTATAGAACTGCCCATTCATAATTTCATGAAGTCAGAATGATGCTGCTCTTAGCTTTGTTACCCACACTAAGATGGTTGCCCATGGCTTATAGTCTGGGTCCTGGAACAAAATAAAGCTAACTGTCCACAGGGACCAAGCCCATGATATATTTTAGCATATATATACACCATAGCATGGTGCTGTAATCAGACTAGCAAAGTAGTCCCAGACATATTTATCGGTATGCATGCCTAACATCAGAAAACTGTTATTTTGACTCTTAAAGAAATGTGTTTGAATTGGAGAATTTGTGGTCTAATTTTTTATGATAACACTTCTATTCTGAAAATCATATTTAAATCTTGCCTTCTATTAACTTTGCTTAGCCACACCGAATGTGCACTCCATATAATCATGTGTAGATGATCTCTGAGGTCTCTCCCTACTCTTAAATTCCATAAGTATACATTTTAGCTATCTGGAAATTAAATAAACTTGTTCATATTGGTGTTCGATTAAAATGCAAAATTTTGTTATCTTGGGTAACACTAAGAATTACAGAGAAGAAACAGGTAGTGTAAACATTAAGCCTCCTATACTGTGAGCAGTGTATTTGGTGTAATTTAAAATTACGTATCTTTTAAGATAAATGTATGTAGTTACAGGAACAAACAGAAGTCCTGTAATTTAGTGTGATTTTTCAACCTAGTTTTCTTTTATTAGTGTTAATAAGTAAACTATAGGCCAGAACTATCTTGCAGGTAGATGCAGGTTCCTATGTAGAGTACACCATTCTCTCTGCCTTCACTAATTTTATGTAGGGATTTAGATTAGGCTGACAATCGGGCAGCTTTGAAAGTGCTCTACCAAAGGAAAGAGGAAAGAATATGTGAGGAAAACAGGTGGGCTCCTTCGTGCTGAATGGAGAGATGAGGAAGGGAGAAAGAACATGGGCTAAAGGTGTACTTGAGCTGGGGGTGGTGGGGGGCGGGGGGTTTGTTCTCATTGAAGCTGCCAAGGATTCTGCTGTCAGAAACAGTCTGTAGCTCCCCAAAAGATTTTTAAATTATTTCAGATTAAATGGACCTTGTTATCTTATATTTTTTACTTTTTGAGTACTTTCTTCTTACCAAATACAAAAAGTACATTAACCAGTTAACTGCCACGTGTCCAAAATGGAAACCATCCCCACACACAATGATATTTTGAATTTAATTAAATCATCTGACTCTGGAGTTGAATGAAGGACGTCATCTTCTTCTTGTGAGGTGCATGATTCGATCATTTCTTCATCTGATGCTTTTTATGGAGGTTGAATTTTATTTGCGCAATATATTACAACAATAAATTCAATAATAAAATAATGACAATTTTCAATTTTACGGAAATATCAACAAAAGCGAGCACAAAATGAAAATAAACTGTCGACATGAAAAGCCTCGAAAACACTAAATTTTGTTGATGCTCCAAAGACAAAATCTGTAAAAAAATAATGAAGAATGCACACCATGTTTACCATTTAGGCGTGAAATTCATGATAACACAAACAAATCTCAATGAACAAAAAAAACTCTCAAGTTTTGCAGTGTTTCTCTTGCGTGTCTGAGTGGCAGCCCTATATGTTGATATTGGAATTTCTTCCGTATGCGCCTGGAATATTTACGAATTTAAGTTACCATAATTTTCTTTACAAACCCAGAGATGTCACTAACAAGTCTGATTTTAAAATTGGGCGACCAGAGTTGATATGCGAGATTTGCGGCTATAGATGCGCATGGCACGTGGGGAGGTCTGCCACTTGTGTCTTATGGCGAACAAAGGGTTAACAGTGTTAGATAGGTAGAGTGAGTAAATCACAATTAGAATAGCAGAGGTAATAAACTTGAAAAGATAGAAAAGGCATATTTATTTTCTCAGGATGATTGATTTCTTACCATAACCTAGACTATGCAAAGTAAACATGGTTTTCTTTTTAAAATCTTGTTTGTAGCCCTGGACAAGACCCTGTTTCCAATCCTACTTATATGAACCAGAACTCTGCCCTTCCATCAGCTGCTGGCACAGCTGCCTACACGCAGCAGATGGGGATGTCTGTGGACCTGTCATCTTACCAGAACACTGCAGCCAGTCTGCCACAGCTGTCAGGCTTCCCCATGGCAGTTCCAGCGCACGCCATGGCCCAGCAGCAAACAAATTACCACCAGCAGCCTCTCCTTTAGAAACAAGCCAGGCGTTTTCTTGAAAGCCTTTCTATGTGTATTATTCGACCATTATAACTCTAATCTGAAAATATTAAGAGGGAAAAGATTTTTTTTCTGAGGATGGACCGTGAATAAATAAAGCACAAAAGCTCTTACTCTACTAGGCCATAAAAGGGTTTTTATCAGTCCAGTTTGTTTGAAGTCAAACTTAAACAGAGGCAGCTTCCAATTAGTTTTAATTTTAAATTTCTCTACACAAATCTGGATACCCAATAAGTAGCCTTATGACATTAAACAGCATGATATGTTTACGTTTTATAAAGAAACCATCCTTTATCCCTAAAATGTCATGTTAATTGGGAGAGCACCGAAACCTTTAAATATATTTTGTCTGCATATTTTTTTTCAGTTTCCCACACACCATTATTTTTAAAGGCAAATATCTTATTGTGCAAGCATTTATCTTGCCAACATATTTCCTTTTGGCACCTTAAATTGCAGTTGTATTTGCAGTACTGTCAGTTTTGCTCTCAGTGTTATGTTGAGTAATAATTAGCATATCATTGTCTACAGTAGCAAGAGAAATTTGGAAGGAACCAAGTGTTTTCTGTTATTAAAAGTGAAGACCATGTAAATGCAGATGTGTGATAAAGCATTTAGCTAGTCCCCCAGTCATGCCAGTAGTGGGCTAAGGAGTGCCCCAGAAAACATTTCCATTCCCTGGAGAACATTTCTTTTCCTGCAAGGGTCCCTGGAATTTAGAATTGCCACTGTACTGACCTTTTCAAATGACTGGCCATTCTGGGATGAAGATGTGGTCCCTGTGTTTCCTTCATGCAGTGGGTGTGAAGAGATGCTGCATTTCCTTTTTACCATAACATGTGAATTTGAGCCATGAGACATTCCTAATAGGATGTGATGGATGCCAACCATGGATGATAAGTGTGTTTTTATTGATACATTGCTGCTTCACAGGTGATTTAAGTACCATTGCTGTGCCAGGCTGTCAAAAAATTGGGCCATTTCTTTCTGAGCCTGTGGGATAACAGCAGGCAGTGGATTGATAGGAAAGCTATCAAGACAGTTTTTCTGAAATCTACATTTTAAATGAGCTTACAGTACTAACAGATCCCACTGTAGGAGTTGGGTAGTGACTCAATAGGGATTGTTTTCTAAAAATTCCCACACTACTGCATCATCTACCAATTTTTTAGATAACACAAAATAGAAAATGCAAATGCATATGCCTTCAGATATGTAATATTTAGACTGGGAAAAACGATAAATGTAAGTTTAGTTTTAAAAAGTTAATTGTATGGAAGCAAGATTTCTATATTACTTTTTAAAGAAAGCCCTTAATCATCCTACTAAGAATCCATATGAAATAGTGCTCTACAAATTTTTATCATTTACTGTTTAAAGAAATTTGATTCTAAGTATATTCCTTTTTCAAGGAAATAGTATCCTAGAACAACATGGTCCATATACTACTTGGTCTACATTTAAAGGGAAAAACAAGCAGTATGTTCTGTTTTTCATGCAGTGTTTCTTTTCCTTCCATGTGAATTAAATTATATACTTATAAAAAATTCTAAATGGCACCTTACCTTTTGGAAACAAATCTATTCTTTAAAGAATGCAAAACACAAAAACATTTACAAAGCTGCTCTTGATAACAGTTAATGTTTGCATATATATATGGAAAATCTTTTTTTTCTCCCAAACAATATTTAATAAACAGCTATTTTAATATTTGTGTAAATATTTTATGTATAATTGTCATTGGAATTGTAAAAGCTTAATTCTTCAGAAGTTGAACTAGTATAAATATTGCACACCCACTAAATCGAGATCAGCCAATTGAGTAGTTTTGGAATAATGTAACATGCAACATGTATATAAATAGTGTATATTGGCACTTATCTGTGAAATTTTATACATTCAGAAGTTTCTTCTCCCTCTTAAAATAATTTTATTTTTGCCATATTGTAATGAAGTTTGTGTTGCAGGTTGTTGATAGTATGAAAATGTTATTAAATTGGTGTACTGAGATCTTTTTAGTGTTGAGAAATACAGGTTGTTATTTTTCTTTTCTATGATCTTAGGGATTGTATTTATTTTAAAACCTGTTTATAATTAAATGTTTTCTGCCAAAGGAACTGTCTAACATCAGATTTCTACATTGGATTCATACTTACTGTTTTGATATAAAAAATAAAAATAACTTCTGCTATTTCACATGAAGTCTTGGCACATCAGAAAGAATTCCTGAAATTGCAATTTTCATTAATCTAAAAAACTTTCCCCTGGGTGTTAAAATATATGAAGCGGGATATGGTTTTTTGTTGTTGTTAATCCTCACCTGAGGATATTCTTTGCATTGATTTTTAGAGAGAGTGGAAGGGAGAGGGAGAAACAGAAACATTGATTGCTTGCCTCCTGCACATGCCCAACTTGGGTGGAGGATCAAGCCTTCAACCTAAATACGTGCCCTTGACTGGAATCGAACCTGCGGCCCTTCAGTCCATGAGCTGACATTCTATCTACAGAGCCAAACTGGCTAGGGCTGGATATATTCTATAGTGTGGAAAATGTAGTCTACCAACATTGTCTTTTAATTTGATGATTTATTTATAAAATTACCTGGACATGAAATGGTTATAATTATCAGTTATGATAATTGAAAGATACATTGTCATCATATGCAATTTCCAGTAGTTGATTTTTGACCACATAGATTTCACTGTTCATTTTGAAGATGTTTGGTTATAAAATTTCACCTTCCAGATTGTTAACAAATTAATTTTAAATGTTAAAAAAATTATGGCTTGGGGACTTTTTAAAAAGTTTTTCATAGTAAAAATTGTATGTGTCAAGTCTCCTGACTTCCAGGAGAGAATTTATTGAAGTTATTTTTGTAAGTAACAAATTATAAAGAATAGAGCACCGATCTATTTGTCATACTTTGTTTCTATCAAAAGACATTTTCCTCATTTGCTTCCATCAGTTTTAGTCAATAAAGGGGAGGACCCAGTTCTAAGGGTTTGATTTTTAAAAATTTATTTTCTTTTGAAGATTAAAAATTTATTTTTTAAAGTTTCCCCAGAAGATTTAATTCTAATATTACCAAGCTAAATTTGAATTGGACTTTTAAAAAAGCCTTACTGTGTCAAAGAGAGAAATTATGTTGCTGACATAGTGTAATGGGATGAATAGTATCCCCCCAAAATTCATGTTAACCTAGAATGTCAGAACTTGACCTTATTTGGAAAAAGTCGTTGTAGTATATAATTATTAAAGGTTTTGGGGTGACATCCTGGATTTAGGTAGATCCTAAATCCAATGACTGATGTCCTTATAAGAAGAGAAGACACAGAGACACAGCGAGCAAGGCATGAGAAGATGGAGGCAGAAATTGGAGTTTCGCTGCCACAAATCAAGGACTGCCTGCAGCCACTAGAAGTTGGAGGAAGCAAGGAGCCTTCCCCAGAGCCTAGAGCAGTGATGGCGAACCTATGACACGCGTGTCAGAGGTGACACGCGAACTCTTTTTTTTTGGTTGATTTTTCTTTGTTAAATGGCACTTAAATATATAAAATAAATATCAAAAATATAAATCTTTGTTTTACTATGGTTGCAAATATCAAAACATTTCTATATGTGACACGGCACCAGAGTTAAGTTAGGGTTTTTCAAAATGCTGACACGCGGAGCTCAAAAGGTTCACCATCACTGGCCTAGAGGGAACTTGGTCCTGCTGACACCTTCATTTCTAATTTCTAGCCTTTAGAACTGAGAGGGAAGAAATTTATGTTGTTTAAGCCACAGTTTGAAGTACTTTGTTAGGGCATCCTAGGAAACTAATAAACATAAAAGTATGCAACGAAGATAAAAGATTAAAGTATGCAGCGAAATTGAGTGCCAAGCATTCCAAACTTACAAGATTGGCTAAAATTGTCACAAGACTTCTGAGACAAATGTCTAATCCAGTAGCAGTTTTTATGTTTTGTAAACTAGAATGAAATGGCCTGGATAAATGAAACCAAACTCCCAGTTAATTCCACAATCCCATTTTACTGATTTTTTAAACACCACATCTGCGTTTCAATAATTGATTTCTTTATGCCAGATGTGTTAACAAATAATTTATACATTTACTGTCCACTCTTCTGCCCATCTTGAGTAGTGGGTGTTGGAAGGGAGATGTTCAAAGACAAACAGAGGAACAGAAGAAACAAAACTGGATGAATATTCCCCACAAATAATACCAAAGAACAGAGTTTGGTTTTGTTCTTATTTTACACCATTTAATATCCTAAAGAGTAAAATAAAGGCTTCCCAGTACCTTTATAGTGAATCAGTGACCTTTACTGATTACACTTTGGTCAAAGGAGCCAGCTATCATTTTTTAAGAATTGCGATGATACATATAATTAGCCTATTTATTTGTTCTTTCATTTATTTATCCTCATCTGAGGATATGTTTTACTGATTTTAAAGAGAGAGGAAAGGGGAGAGAAACAGCCATGTGAGAGAAACATCGATTAGTTGCCTCCTGTACATGTGTCCACTAGACATTGAACCCGCAACCTAGTTCTGTGCCCTGACCAGAAATCGAACCTGTAACCTTTTGGTGCACCGGACGATGCTCCAACCAACTGAGCCACACTGGCCAAGGTATAATATATTAGCCATTTTAAAGTGAACGTGATTCAATGGCATTTAGAACATTCACAATGTACAAACCCCACCTCTAGTTCCAAAATTAGAACTTTGTGTCTTTTTTGTGTCAAATGTCTGTGAGGTTCATTTCCACATAGACCACCGTACATGAGATTCACATACATATACTGTGGTCTGTGTTGTTCATGTGTTGGTGGTTCTTGGGCTGTTCCCACCTTTTGGCTATTGTGAATAGTGCTGCTATGGATGTGTGTGTACCTGTATTTGAGTACCAATTTCCACTTCTTTGAGATACATGGTAATTCTATGTTTAATTTTTTGAGGAGCTGCCAAACTTAACACAGCTGAACAATTTTACATTCCCACTAGCAGTGAAGAATGTTCCAATGTCCCTACATCCTCACCAAGGATTATTTCCTGTTTTTAAAAATTATAGCCATTCTAGCAGATGTTGAAGTACTTCATTGTGGTTTTAGTTTGCATTTCCCTAATGGCTAATGATGTTGAACATCTTTTCACATGCTTGTTGGCCATTTGTATAACTTGTTTGGAGAAATGTCTAAGTCTTTTGCCTATTTTTTAATTGGGTTGTCTTTTTGTTGTTGGGTTGTAATAGTTATTTATATATTCTGGATACTAAACCCTTACTAGATAAACGATTTGCAGATATTTTCTCTCATTCTGTAGGTTGTCTTTTCTCTTTCTTGATGATGTTCTTTGATTCACAGAAGTTTTTAATTTTGATGAAATCCAGTTTATTTTTTCTTTTGTTGCTTATGCTTTTAGTATCATATCTTAAGGGTCCATTGCCAAATCCAGGGTCATGAAAATTTTCTCCTATTTTCTTCTAAGATGTTTATGGTTTTAGCTCTTATAGTTAGTCTGTGACCCATTTATGAGTTAAATCGTGTACATGGTGTGAGGTAGGAGTCCAGCTTCATTGTTTTGTATGAGGTAGTTACCCAACTAAGACTGTTCTTTGACCAGCCATTCTTTGACACTGCTATAACACACCCTACGGGTAGTCAGTTCTAGGACCTAAGTTGTACAACTATGACAGATCAACCCTATAGCTATATAGTTGACAGTCCTAAGGGGTGACAGCCTTGTCCTCACCTGATCACTGTGTCACACACCTCAAGGGGTGTCAGTGATATCTTGTTAGGATAGAGCTCCCAGTGGTGAACAGATATCACATGAACGAATGTGTTAAGGTGTCAATGTAGAGACAGTTTTTAGCTGTCACATATTTTCCCCCTCCAAGTAACTTCAGACAAGTATTGTGAAAAGTGCATTGTCTAAAAAGAAAAACGGGACTTAAAATGCCAGCCAAAAATAATCTTACCATATTTCTTTCCTGGGAAACCCCCTGGGATTTTCACCTGTGAATCATTGGTCAAAAAAGGGTCAAAAGGCTACTCACTTAAGAGGCAAGTGAGTCTGGGAAAGTGAATATTTTGTTTTCCAGCCTCTAAATGTATGGAGAGAAGGCAGGGGAGAAGATTGGAGTGAATGTAGAGGATTCCTTTATACAGTATCGATCACAGAGATAGTCCTGCCCACTGGTGTTGCCAGTGTGGTAAATTCAAAGTCGAATTGCTCTGTCACTCTGCCAGGGTCAAATAAGCTCTTGTTAAGATTCTCTGGTATAAGCATACCATCGTTTTCAGTCAATAAAGGCTAGAATTAATATATTTACAGCTGACCTAATTGTTAAAACTGAGACCTTCTTTTATTATTTATTTATTTTTAAATATATTTTATTGATTTTTTTACAGAGAGGAAGGGAGAAGGATAGAGAGTTAGAAACATTGATGAGAGAGAAACATCGATCAGCTGCTTCCTGCACACTCCCCACTGGGGATGTGCCCCCAACCAAGGTACATGCCCTTGACCGGAATCGAACCCGGGACCCTTGAGTCCGCAGGCCGATGCTCTATCCACTGAGCCAAACCGGTTAGGGCTGAGACCTTCTTTTAGAAACCTCCTTAAGAGAGACAGAGACCCTATAAGTGGAGATGGGAATAAAAGTTTCAAACTGCTCCTGTCTCTTCTATTTTGAAACATGAAAAAATTAAAAGATTTATTAGCATTTGTTAATGCAGTCAGTAACATTATTATATGCTGGGGATGCTAAGAACTTGAGTTTCCACGCCTGAGCTGTATTGGTGGCTTCGCCATACACTCACTAGTTGTGTAATGGTAGGCATTGCACTTTGCCTTGATTGAAAACCATTTTCATATACATTGTCATTGAATTCTCATAACACTTGTTAGGAAGAGAGGCAGACAAAGAGATTAATCTTCACAAGCTAGTAAGTGGCAAAGCTGGGATTCTAAACCAGGCTCTGTCTCTCGCGCAAGCATGTGCTTTTGCTCGCTATACTAGAGGGACTATTACCTAGAAATAATTTGTGTGATAAGGTTGTCAAGTTATCTCCGGTGATAGCTTCCTTTCCCACAAAACACTGAGATGAATGGGGTCCCAAAGGGCTCCCCTAGATAGAAAATTCCTTCAGATGTAAGAATACTCATGTAGGAAGAGCATAAGGGTG